GAATATTGAATATACCATGGACTGACAGAAGTACAAACAAATCTGTTTTGGAAGAAGTACAGCCAAAGTTCTCCTTTGAAGCAAGGATGGTGAAACTTTATCTCACGTATTTTGGACATGTTATCAGGAGGGACCAGTCCCTGGAAAAATACGTCATGCTTGGTAAAGGGTCAGCAAAAAAGAGGAAGACCCTCAACAAGATGGATTGACACAGTGGCTGCAACAGTGGGCTCAAGCATAGCAACAATTGTGAGGATGGTGCAGAAATGGGCAGTGTTTCATTCTGTTTTACATAGGGTCGCTATTATCCAGAATTGACTCGATGGCACCTAGCAACAACAGTAACAGTGACTGTTGATCACCACTCATCTGCCACTTCATTGTACTGTGGTGACTTGCATGTTGCTATAATGCTAGAAGTTATGCCACTGGTATTTCAAATACCAGCAGGGTCACCCATGGTGGACAGGTTTCAGCAAAGCTGCTAGACTAAGACAGACAGGGAAGAAAGGCTAACAATCTATTTCCAAAAATTAGGCAATTAAAGCCCTATAGATCACAACAGAATATTGTCCGATATAGCAGTGGAAGATGAACCCCCTAGGTTGGAAGGCAATAAGGGACTCAAGCATGGTGGCAATCATGTTTCATTCTGTTGTTGCTGTCATCACCAGGCGTCAGAGCCAACTTCATGGTCATTAATAACAACAACAGTGACTGCTGGAGAATAAAATTGGGATTTGGGTGGATCTTGATAGGCTGGAGCTATGGACAAAATCCTACAAGATGAAATTGATGAGGATAAAATGTTAAGTCCTTCTCTAAGGTTCCCAGACCCAGCCTCACCAGCCCAGGGTGATGGTGGTGGTGGTGGTGGTGGGTGGGGAGGGGGAGGTGGGTGAGTAAGACGTAGTTTAGCAGCAGAAAACTCAGTGATATAGCAGTCAGGTTAAACATGGTTAAATTGGGCAGTCGGGGTAGGAACTGGTGAAGCCCTTGGGGTATGTTTTCCCATCCAACCATCTTTCCTTCCTGCTTCCTCTGCCCCATCCCATAACCCTCTGACTAGACCTGCCATCCTTGCCGCCAAACCCACTGCCACCTCTGCCCCCTTCCATGGCCCTTGTTCTTCTACCTCTGGTCCCAGAGAGCTCAGAGAGGAAGGACTGATGGGGCTCTGGAGAAGAAGCACTTTGCCTTTGATATACTCCTTGCTGGCCTGGACCCTCCTCACTGGGTGTCACAGCCTGGGAACTACCCCGATTTGCCTTCCCCTTGGCACGATCCCTGGGAACAGCGCCTGGTACACCTTGTCCTCTGCTGTGTGGAGATGGCTAGGTGATAGCCAGCCTTCCTGAGTACTTTCTGTGTGCCAGACACCATTCTAAGTGCTCATTTAACTCCTTGCAGCAACCCCACAAAGGTATTATTGTTGCGTTCATTTTATACATGAGGAAACTGAGGAACAGGGAGGTTCAGTGACTTCCGCCATAGACCATGCCCATAATGACCTTGCTATCTTACCCCTGTTGAAGGCTGGGGAGAGAGCAGAGTGCTGGGCCCCCCTCCACACTGCGTTCATTACTCTCACTCCTCTCCTCACCCCCTCTCTCCCTCTCCAGGAAGGAGTGCCTCGTGAGCTCCTCAGGGAATGACAATACAGAGAATGGGTTGCATGGCTCCAAGGCAGAAGAGAAACCACCCACAAAAGTGTGAGCCCCCTGCTTTGGGCCAAGAAGCCACAGGGAGCCTCACTCTCTGATGATGAAACTGATGCTTGAGCTGTGTCTGTAGAACCCACGTGCCTGAGACATCTGCTGCTTGCCTCCAACTGTAGTCTTTTTGATCAGGGAGAAACTGGGGTCCTCCCAGCGTGCCCCACCCCATCCCCGGTCAGGGCTCCTCAGGGACAAGGGCTGGCAGGGGTGGGGTGTGGAAGGTCTGGGAAAGGGCAAGATGGGCTGGGGTGGGAAAGGGAGAGCGCTCTGTGATCCACAGTGGGGCGGTGTGGAGGGGCCATCCCCCGACACCTGGGCAGATGGGTCTTCTTCAGCCTCCACAGCCTGTCTGAGCAGTACGTTGGTGTCCCTCGAGATTTCTCTTCAAGAAGGACTTGGAGGATCAGAGAGCTGCCCCAATAGCTGGACCCTGGAGATGGGGCAAAGAAAGAGCCATGTGTGGAGGACTAAGCTTTTATGATGGGGTGGGGGTGGGGTGGGTTAGAAAACTCTTACAAGATATGGGGGAGAGGGCTGCTGGAAGTAGAGCTACAGTGAGAGGCAAGCCTCCACTTTGTAGGGTACTTGCTCCGCCACAGTCCCTCCTGCCTGCCTTGGCCCTGGCCAACCACTCTGAGTTTCTGAACCCTTCCGACTAGGGCTGGCTGCCTTGGTCTGGGGGTGCTGGGCCCACCTACCTGCTCCTCTGACCTCTGTTACTGAGGAGTCAATGAAGGCCCCCCCTACCCTCAGTCTTTCTGGAGCACTGGGGCGCTACCTACACCTTTCCTCTCATTTCTCCTTTGGGAATCAGGGTTGCTTGCTGGTGGGTGTGCCGGTGTCCTGGGCCGCTCAACCACTGGTACGCCCATCCCAGCCCTGCCAAGCTGGCAGCCCCTTCTAGGCATGGCAGGCCCATCGCCACCCCTGGGAACGCCTGAGCCTGGCTCTCCCCTGTGCCTCCTCCTTCGCTGGTGAAATACCAGGTGGCACCATCCTGCCCCCTTTCCTCCCCTTGGCTTACTTCTCCTATGCCCCCACCATCACTCCTCTCCCCTGCCCCAGGGCTGTTCACCCCCAGCTCTGGGTCAAGGGCTTCCCTTCTCTTCAGGGCCCATTGGATGACAGGGCCCTTGGGTTTTCTGGCTGCCTCCTGCTGAGCTGTGCCACCTGCTCTCCCACCTGGGATTGGAAAGAGCAGGGAGAGGGCGCCCACAATTTTCCTTTGCTTTTTCCGAGAACTGGTTTGCACACCCCTGTGTGAGGGGCTAGACTGTGCCTTAGCTCCCTGAATCCTAGCTCATACCCTTGCTTCCCCTTGAGCCTGAACTTCCTGACAGAACAGCTGAATCTGGTGTTGCACTGACCCAAGGTCATGGAGTGGGCCGGGGGCTGGAATTAGGACACTGCTGGCCCCTCAGCCAGGAACTGAGTCTTGGAGACATCTGCCAAGTGCTTCCATCAGGTGATCCCCTACAGGGGGTGGTAGTAATGTTGGAGATGTGACGACCCTGCCATCTGCTCTCACTCCCCTATTCTCTTATTGAATTTCTAAGACACTGTGCTCTGGGCCCCAACGTGGGGTGGGAGGGGAGTAGCCTTCTTTTCCAGATTAGAGTGTATGGGGACTGCCTTAGGTCTCTCTCTGCCAAAAAGCAGAAGCAAGCTTCCCTGAGGGTGGAGGAGGGATTGATGAACAGCAACACCTGGCAGAGTGCCCATGAGCTGTGTCCCCTGTCCCTCACCAAACCCCGAGGGGATCACCAGTTCCCACTCCAATCTCTCTCAGTCCGTCCTATTGTTCTCCACCCAGAACCCATCCTGGGTTTGGGTTCAGATTTTCCTGGCCTTGGGAGTAGACAGACCAGAGCCATCAGTCATTCAGAATACTTCTTATAGCTGCCTTCGTGCAAAACTACTTCCTTCTCCCTTCCCAGCTTCATCATTTGAGCAGGCAGAGAGTCTTGGGACTCCTCTTTCTCTCTTTTGAGGAAGCCAAGATGACTGGTTCACATAAAGTTGGCAGGGGAAGCGGGGGTGGGAAGAGCATCATTGGGGTTTTTCCACTCCTTGGTCTACTGCTGACATGTAGACAGGTCATGTATCTTCTCTGGGCTCAGCTTTTTCCATCTCTAAAATGGGTGTAATACTTACCTACCTCACAAAACTGTTGTGAGGCTTGGTGAGTTTTTTTTTTTTTTTTTAATCTTTTTGGTTTGGAAACGGATCTGGGAGGCCAGGTATTACAACTGGAGGGATTGTTCCAAGTCTGCCTGGTCTCAGCTCTGTTTCATCCTACAATACCCACATCACATTACATCACCTCACATACACACACTCTCTCTTTCCACTTCTCCCCTCAGGATTATGTTAGCCTTTGTAATATAAGAAACCTTGACTCAGATGCTTTAAGTTTCTTGTCCACGACTTCGGTGGTTTTCAATAGAGCTGGCTGGAACTATAGCTGAGACATTTTTGGTTGCCCCAATCTCTGGGTGGGGGGGTGGGGGGTGCGGATTACTGGCATTTAGAGGGTGGGGACTAAGAATGCTAAATTTCTTAGAGTGTGTGGGACTGTCCCCACAACAAAGAATTGACCTGCCCCAATGCCAGGGTTATGGGGAAACACTGGTCTGGATTTGCAGTAAAACGTCTGTGGGCAAAGCCATCTTCCCCAAGCAGACACTTGAGTGCCTGCAAGTCTCCAGGTGGTCTCCAGGGGCTGGTGAGGGAGTTTCCAGAGTTGTGGACCAGAGTGAGAGCCCACTTACAGGGTTGATCTTGGGAGCCCTGGATGCACCCAGCTGCCCTGACAGGGAAGTCAGTGAGACCAAAGACAGAGTTTCCCAGCTCCCCGCCCTTGACCTCTAAATAAAAAACCAGTTGCTGTAGGGTTGATTCCAACTCATGGTGACTCCATGTGTGTCAGAGTAGAACTATGCTCCATAGAGTTTTCAATGGCTGATTTTCCTGAAGTAGATCGCCAGGCCCTTCTTTTGAGGCACCTCTGGGTGAACTCACACCTCTTTCAGTTAGCAACTGAGAACATCAACCGTTTGCACCACCCAGGGACTTCAAAACAGGACCTCAGAGTTCCAGGCCTTGGGTTTCTTCCTGTGTAAGAATTCAGGAAAGGCAGCTAGAATGAAGTGATGCTAGAGAGGTCTGGAAGAGGGGCCAGTGGAGTTCAGATTCTCCCCACATCTGGGTGGCTGAGAGAGCTAGAGGCTTGCCGAAGCTCGTGTGAAGCGAGGGGTGTGAGAGTGTGCTCCTGAGACGGCGGGGGATGAGTGTGCGTGTATGGCATGGGCGTGGAGCGTTCATGTGTGCAGGCAGTGCAGGTGCGTGGAGGTGTGACTGTGGACTGAGTGCGCCGTGCATGGGAAAGGTGATGGTATGGGTGTGTGTAAAGACTGTGTGTGCTTGACTTGGGGGAGACTCTGGACATTTCAGGAGCTCTTTCCTGGCCTGAGCTATACCTGTTGGGGTACTTGGATGCTGAGAAAGGATAAAAGACAGAAAGTAGGACCAGCCATGCTCCTGGGCTCCATAACTCCATGACTCCAGGTCACTGTTACAGATAGCTGCCATCGGAGGGGAAGCATGTTGGGGAGAGGGAGTGTAAGGAGAGGGGACTTCTCTGGAAAATCCTATAGCTTGCTTCCCTTTACTTTGTCCCAGGCTGGAGTCCCTACCCTCTCACCCCCACCTGATGTGCAGTGCTTTTGACTATCTTATGCATGGTTTCTTCTTCTGGCTTGGATGACAACAATATCCATAGTCAACTTTCCTATATAACTATAAATCAAAAGGATGTAACAATGGGCCTTGGGGGTCCGCAGGTCTGGGGATGCCTCTGGGAGGTGCAGATATGCACACCCCCAGCACTGACTCATGTTCAAGTATAGAGTAGATGCAATTAGGTGGTCTCACCTTCACAACATGTTTTGCATTGTAGAATTTTATTTAGCTTTGCCTTGAATGAAATAAAAATTATGTTTAATAGAACTGGTTTGGAGTTTCCATTTTTGGTTAACTGGAAGGTTGATTCCAGTTATATAACTTGCCAGCTATAGTTTGGACAAGTTTCTAAGTTTCTTTACTCTCTCTGTCTTCTTTTCTTCTTGTGTCTACAACGTTACCTGCCTAGGTGAAACAACACAGGTGAAATGCATGAGTGTCTGGCATATTCATAGGCCTTCAGCTCACATTAGTTCCCGTGCCTTCTCTGGAGAAGTTGGAAAGGTGACCCTTTAATGTTGGATTATTGCCAGATCCCACCCTGTGCTGATGACCTTGGTAATGATCCTGGTATCAATAAATGTCATGACACTCATAACATCCCCTTTCCCCAGCCTCCACCCCCATCCCTAGGTTGACATTTGTATCCAGGTGAAATCTGCTTCAAATGAACAATATGGGAAGCTCTAAAGAGGAAAAGGCACAACACAACTTACTGACTGAAGAGTTTATGGACCAATTGGGCTTTGCTCGGCTGGTAACTCCATCTTGCTGTTCTGGGGATCAGGCTATATGGGGAGTGGGGGAGGGAGGAAGCTCTGGTTTACATTTTAGGGATGACTCTACTCATGCACGGTTCATATTGTCCACTTTATATTATTTGAACATAGATTCCCAAACATGCCTGCTTTCAGGGGAGAGTTTTCAGCTGCTAGACATAAGGCCAGGTGGGAAGGAATCAGGAATATGCATGAGTGTATGTGTTTGCTTAGATTCTTAGACTTTATGATACCACGATTTCTCACCATGCCATATCTCTCTCTTCAGTGGATTCACCTCAGACTGCATTTCAAAGGGTTTTAAACACTAAGTACTTAAAAGATCTTGTTAAAAGACTCTTCCTCCTCGATCAAGGGACCCCAGGAAGGCATTTCAGTAGAGGTCCCATGCAGTCCTGCTTTTTCCAGCCCTCAGCTATAATAATTGTGCTCTGTGCTCCCATCCTGAATGGATTCCTCACCTGGGATCCCTATGCTGCCACTCACCTGTATTCAGGTACTACCTGTTGCCTAGGACCTCCTGCCACCTTCCCATAAGCTATTGGCCCATTGGATATTAAAATTTCCTGGCCCAAGCCTGAGCTTATGAAACACTGGGGATACTGTACATTGAACATAACCCATGTAAGGGTCAGCCCCAACGCCTGGCTAGGTCCCCATCACTGCTCTGTGTCATCCCTACTTTCTTTTCCTACCCAATAGCCATTGTAACTGCTATGTGACCAAATATGTCAAAACCAAATTAGGAACTGGGACTGTCATGGACAGGTCTAGACATAGGGTTACCCTGTTAGGCCACATACAAGCCCCATTCTGACTTAGCCAGGAATAAGACAAAGTACACATAAATTACACTTGTTGCCGTCAAGTTGATTCTGACTCATAACAACCAGACTAGAACTGCCCCATAGGGTTGCAAAGGCTGTAACCTTTATGGAAGCAGACTGCCACATCTTTCTCTCGAGGAGCAGCTCGTGGGTTTGAACTGCTGACCTTTCGTTTAGCAGCTGAGCACTTATCCGCTGCACCACCAGGGCTCCTTATACATAAGTTAAGGGTCCTTAGTTTGAGCTGGGTGGCAAGCACACAGACTGGAGGGACTTTAAGTGTCCATAAAGTGAAAATGAAAGCAAGAGTGTACATATGTGCTTAGGAAACTTTTTAAAAGGGCCCTAGTACAAAAGCTGGACATTATTCCCCACCCTTCTCCACTGGTGTCAGGAAAGGAACTGGTTGCCCCTGCCTCCTCCCGTTTACATTAAAAGCCTCTTCCCTGCCTCCCCAACTCCTTCTCACCACCACCATCCCTACAGCCCTAGCCCAGGCCACCATTGTCTGGATTACTGCAAGAGCTTCCATATTGGTCTTCCTCCTTTTCCCTGGCCCAGCCTTAGTCTACTCTCCACAGGACAGCCAGAGTGGTCCCTTTCAAACAAAATTAGTTGATGTTATCTGCTCTGGCCAAGATGGAATCACAGAGACCATTTGCCCTCACACCTTACAACTAAAAAACTGGAAAAAAATGATACTATGGTTTTTAGACACTGGACAACAGGCAGTGGAGGATGGTGATTCCTGAGAGAGACAAATAAGGTGAGCCCTACTATTGCTTCAGCTTCCTGCCTGGAAAGAACTTCCAGGCTGCAATGCAGGGAGGGGCAC